TAGACACATACACAGATATAGAGATAGACACATACAGACACAGACATAGATATAGACAGACATAGACACAGATATATATAATCATAGACATAGACACAGACACAGACACGTACATAGACACAGACACAGAAACGTACATAGACACATACACAGATATAGAGATAGACACATACAGACACAGACATAGATATAGACAGACATAGACACAGATATATATAATCATAGACATAGACACCGACACAGACACGTACATAGACATAGACAAAGATACATACACAGACATAGAAATTGACACAGACAGACACAGACAAACGCAAACTTTGGCAATCCGTGCGATCTAAACGATCGCCTTGATAGCCGATGCACCATCCGCATGTCCCGCATCGCACGGTAGTCTACGGCTTCTAGTATGCGTGTCTGCTATTCCTATTCCAATTCCTATTCCTGCGGACCAAATGTCCCGAAGATAGCGCCACCTGACTTACACCTGGTTCACATTTCAGCACCAATACCACACTAAGATCGATGAGTTCTTGGAGAAGGTGTCTCAGCAGATGATCAGAGGTCTCGTTCAGAAGGTGAGCATGCGGGAGCTTGGTCCGTCACTTATGTCCTACCGTCACGTGCGTTGTCACGATGTATAGAGTATATGTTGAGCCGAGACATGTTAGTAATAAGCATTAAATGAATAAGTGCAATGTAAAACGATAAAACATGACCAATATAATAACGATATTATTAATTCATGATATCAATTATTTATTTTTGTTATATTGCGGCGGTATTAATTATCCTGTTTCCGCACGTAACTTACCATACAATACCGTTCCATGTCATAACACACTGTACCGTACTGTGCCATAGCATACGATAATACATCTCATCACTAACTCGAGGACACTCAATGGAAGACTCATCGTATCTGCTGCCAATATATAAACATCACCTCTTATGTAAACATCAACCACTATAATGTATACATAATGTAATATATGTAAACATCGTTGTCGTCATAGTCATCGTCGTCGTCGCCGTCGTCGTCGTCATCATCGTCGTTGCCATAGTCGTCATCATCAACGTTGCCGCCATCATCATCGTTGTCGTTATATTCATCGTCGTCGTCGTTGTCGTCGTCATAGTCGTCGTCGTCGTCGTCGTCGTCGTCGTCGTCGTCGTCGTCATCATCGTCGTCGTCATAGTCATCATCATCAACGTTGCCGCCATCATCATCGTAGTCGTTGTCGTCATCGTCGTCGTCGTCGTCGTCGTCGTCATCATCGTTGTTGTCATAGTCGTCATCATCAACGTTGCCGCCATCATCATCGTTGTCGTCATAGTCGTCATCATCATCGTTGTCGTCATAGTCATCATCAACGTTGCCGCCATCATCATCGTTGTCGTCAAAGTCATCATCATCATTTTCGTCATAGTCGTCATCATCAACGTTGCCGTCATCATCATCATCGTCGTCATAGTCGTCATCATCATCGTCATCGTTGTTGTTGTTATTGTTGTAGTTGATCAGTGTGTTGGAGAATGTCCTGGGCAAGCTGGCGAGGTACGACGAGGGATCCGTCTTCGCTCCCATCTTCAACTTCACCAGTCAGATCAACATCAGTAAAGTGCTGGTGCGTGAGCTAACTAACGTCGTTTATCTAACCGTGAGCAAGGAGCTAAATATAACAAGGAGAGGAAGCGGATTGGCTGTGTGCTTTTCGCCTCAAGGGCGCCATCTATGGACCATGATCAGCTGAAATGGCCGTGCAGACCGAAACCAGGGACAATAGAACACTAATCTGTTCTAGGGTCTTTGCCAAACACAAATTTGGGCCAGATATGGCGGCGCTTCTTCTCCTTGTTATATTTAGCTCCTTGACCGTGAGCAGTGGCTGTCGAGAGCACGTGTGTATACGTGTAGGTGTACGTCGTGGGTTCATGCACCACTTTTAATACAGCTTCTATTGTTGTAAGCGCGTGGTTTATTATTACGGTGGCCACGTTGCATCGCGCCGAGTGCACATTTGATTGCCTTAATTGCTGCTACAAATGCTAATTCACTTACCGAAACAAGAAACGGGTCTGTATTGAATATTGAATGAAGATTGTATTTCTACTGCCTGTCCTTACACACTGATGGGAGTTGTACCGTGTACCTGACCCTGTACGACCATGTACGACCTTGTACTATCCTGAACGACCTTGTACTACCCTGTTCGACCTTGTACTATCCTGTACGACCTCGTATGACCCTGTACGGCTTTGTATGACCCTGCAGGATGCCCATGTACGACCCTGAACGAACTTGTACTACCCTGTTCGTCATTGTACTATCCTGTACTATCCTGAACGACCTTGTATGACCCTGCACGACTTTGTATGATTCTGTACGACCTTGTATCACCCTGCAGGATGCCCATGTACGACCTTGAACGAACTTGTACTATCCTGTACGACCTTGTACGACCTTGTACTATCCTGTACGACCTCGTATGACTCTGTACGACCTTGTACGCCCTGCAGGATGCTCATGTACGACCCTGAACGAACTTGTACTACCCTGTTCGACCTTGTACGACCTTGTATGACCCTGTACGACCTTGTATGACCCTGCAGGATGCCCATATATACGACCCTGAACGAACTTGTACTACCCTGTTCGACCTTGTACGACCTTGTATGACCCTGTACGACCTTGTATAACCCTGCAGGATGCCCATATATACGACCCTGAACGAACTTGTACTACCCTGTACTATCCTGAACGACCTTGTATGACCCTGCACGACTTTGTATGATTCTGTACGACCTTGTATCACCCTGCAGGATGCCCATGTACGACCCTGAACGAACTTGTACTATCCTGTACTATCCTGAACGACCTTGTAT